TATGGTGTTGATTTCTCTGCAGGAGTTGGAGACTTATGATGATACATGCTTTAGGGTTTAGTGCCCTATAGGTAATGTTGTATTTTTCTCTTTGTGATTTGATCCTCAAGTTCGGGTGTAACTTTGAAGGATTGTACAATCGATTGATAGTGAAATATTGTTATTTGAATTGCCCTATGGACGTAGGCACGATTAGTCGAACCACGTTAAATCTTAGTGTTTACTTGCATGTAGTATTTTCATTGGTGTAGTTATTTATTTAGTGTTTAATTCCGCAGATTAATCTCCATAAAATTCCTAATATGTATTACACCCTAATTTAAAGAAGAACAGATTCTTAACTATTTTACATTCTATTATCTTAACTTTCTTTTTATTACCTATCTCAAAACACTTCTTAAACATAAGCATAATCTAATATCAATCACAAGAGAGCACGAAAAATATCAAGAACACACGAACACAAAGATATACGTGGTTCGGCTTGTAGCCTACATCCACGGGCGAAGGAGGAGAAAATCTTTACTCAATAGTGTGGAATATAAAGTAGAGATCTCTCAATTACTTAATCATAAATAACACCCTAAGATTTTCATACAATCTCTTTAAATAAAAGGAACAAAAGAGAAGAATATCAAATATGCTTCACAAAAAACTCTCTCTTCTTGATTAGTGCTCTGAAGATTGATTAATCTAATTGGCTTGAAAGACTATTCTTATATAGCCTTGAAGATCCCAAATCCTTGCTATCTAAGGAATAATAGTTTTAATAAGAATAGAAGTCCACATATCCTAAAACCCAACAAGAGTCCAAGTAGGAATAAACCTCTAATATGATTGGTTGTGCAAAGTCTAATGTAAGTAGAAATCTTGATCAAAACAAACCAAGTCATAAAAGGAACTCCCAAAGCAATATGGATTTTAGTATTTGAGGCAACCTACAAAAAAATCTCCATCTTGACTCAAATGCGTAGAAATCCTTCACTCCAAAAACTAGCTTACTTCACCTTCTCCCGCAGGGCATCAAGTGCGGCATATATTGTCCAAGCCCGGCTTGAGCTTGCCACCTGAAAGAGGCCTCCTCAACAAATCGACCGAATTGTCTGCACGATGACCGTAAAGCTTAGCGAAGTCATCACCTGAAATAGCTCCTGAATACCCGAAGGGTACAAAATTGTCAACCGACAATGCATAAGCTATCGTATCTTCATATCTTCATAGTGGTTATATATCTTGTCTAGACTAATCTCTAGCAATAGTGTATTCCCGCTTTTCTTGCAGCTACTGAGATGCTTCATCTACTTGAATGAGATCTGGCTGCTAAACTCTCGTAGTTTTATCCTGCTAAAGAGCCGAATCAAGAATTTCTAACTCCACATTATATCCTGTAGTGCGCGCATTATCAACTAAAACCGGTGATTGTTTCTGGTGGAACACAGTAGACTCATCAAAAGTAACATCATGGCTGATAATAATCTTTAAAGACTCCGGAACAGGACACCACAACCTAAAACCCTTAACACCCGATGCATAACCTAGGAATATGCACCTCTTCGCTCGTGGTTCAAGTTTCCCTTGACTAACAAGCACATATGCAGGACAACCAAATATTCTAAAATTAGAATAATTCGTAGGTTTATCAGACCAAACCTCCTCTCGTGTTATAACTAATAGAAATAGATGACGATCGATTCACTAAGTAACAAGTCGTATTCACCACCCAGTATTCTTTGCCTAAACCTGCATTGAACATCATACAACAAGCTTTCTCCAATATGTTTATGTTCATATGTTCTACCACTCTATTCTGTTACGGCGTGTGAGGGCCTGTACGATGTCTAGCGATTCCTTACTTCTTGTAGAACTCATTAAATTATTCTTCACAAAACTCAAGACCATTATCAGTTCTAAGTCTATTAATCAGCCTCCTAGTCTGTTTCTCAATCAAAAACTTCCACTGCTTGAAAGTCACAAACACCTCATATTTATGTCTCAAAAATAGATCTAAACCTTCCTAGAGTAGTCGTCAATGAAGGTCAATAAATATCTAAAACTACCACCCTTCGAGGCAACTTGTGAAGGTTCCCAAAGATTTGAATGGATATAATCCAAACTACCTTTAGTCTAATGCACTGTCATACTTAAGCTGACTCTTTTCTACTTCTCAAAGATGCAATGCTCGCAGAATCTAATTTTTTTGTACTCTGTCCACATAAAAGACCCTTCTTACTCAATTCGGCCAATATGCGCTCACTCATATGATCAAATCTCATATGCCATAATCTAGTAGTATCAGCTCCTGATATCGATGATGTAACTGTAGTCGAATCGGTAATAGTAGTACCCTACAAAACATGCAAGCTGCCGAACTTCTTTCCTTTCATAACCATAAGAGAACCTTTTATAACCCTAAGAACTCTACCTTCACCTAAAAAATTGCACCCAATGCTATTAAGAGTGCCCAAAGAGATGAGATTCTTCCTTAAACCTGGAACATGCCTAACATCAGTCAAAGTCCTGATGACTCTATCATGCATCTTAATCTGAATTTTTTTTCCCAATAGTCTTGCATGAGGTGTTATTTCCTATAAGAATAGTTCCACCATCAATAGCTTCATAAGTGGTGAACCAGTCCCGATTAGGACACATATGATAGGAACAACCCGAATCCAAAATCCAGTCATCAATGCTCCTGTTTATATCATCTATAGCTAACAAAATCACCTCTTCAACAATATCAACTTCAGCAGAGTCCTCCTTTGATTTTCCCTCATACTCTTCTTGTTTATTCATGTTCTTTAATCTATAACAATCGGTCTTAATGTGCCCTTTCTTCTTCCAAATCTATAACAATCGGCTTTATCGCTACTTTCACTTAGGTTAACTCTTTGTCAATTTTCTCTTTATTCAACAAGTTCTCTTTAAGGTTCTTGATGCCAATAGAATCTCAACTATAGATCATAGTATCCCTGAAGTACTTGTAAGAAGGTAGCAAAGAACACAATAACAATAGGGTTTGATCTTCATCATCGATCTTAACATTAATCTTACTAATCAAATCTATAATCACAGAATTAAATTCACCAATACGAGATTTGATGGGTGTTCCTTCCGACATCTGAAGTATGTACAAATGCTGCTTCAAGAGGAGGTGATTAGTTAGCAACTTCGTTAAATACAAATCCTTTAATTTAGATCACAAATCAACAGTTGTCTTCTCTGTGAGAACTTCTTGCAAAACTTCATTTGTCAAACATAATTGGATTTTTGTGAGAGCTCTATCATCCAACTTGTTCTAATCTTCCTCTATCAAAGTAGCTGGTTTTTTCGACTTTCCGAATAAAGCCTTTTTCAATCCACTCTGTGTCAACATGACGATCATCATAACTTCCAAAGGCTAAAACTGATGTTACCGTTAAACTTCTTGATATCCCACTTCATAGTGGTTGTCATTAAATTCTTATTCGATAGATAGTTGAGGGCTCTGATACCAATTTGTTATGATAAACTCTCCAGGATAAGCTAATATCAATCACATGAGAGCACGAAAAATATCAAGAACACACAAACACAAAGATATACATAGTTCGGCTTGTAGCCTACGTCCACAGGCAAATGAGGAGAAAAGCTTAACTAAATAGTGAGGAATACAAAGCGGAGATCTCTCAATCACTCAATCCTAAATAACACCCCAAGATTTCCGTACAATCTCTCTAAATAAAAGTAACAAAAGAGAAGAATATCAAATATGCTTCATAAAAGAACTCTCTTTTTTGATTAGTGCTCTGAAGATTGACGTATCTAATTGGCTTGAAAGACTGTTCTTATATATCCTTGAAGATCCCAACTTCTTGCTGTCTGAGGAATAATAGTACTAATAGAAATATAAGTCCACATGTCCTAAAACCCAACAAGAGCCCAAGTAAAAATAAACCTCTAATATGATTAGTTGTGCTAAGTCTAATGTAAGCAGGACTCTTGATCAAAACAAAGCAAGCCAAACCATAAAAAGAACTCCCAAAGCAATATGGATTTGAGTATTTGAGGCAATGATGCGAAACAATGTGATGCAGGTATAAAGATCAGCGATGATAATATTTCACCAAATCAGCGATTGATCTAAGTAGGAAACTCGAGAATAAAGTGACGCTCCAGATGATTTTTAAGCAAAAATTACGAATGTACTAAGTTCAGACCTTTGTAAATTATTCAGATAATTAATATAATGATTTGTTCTCTTAATACAGTTCGACTTGTAATATTTAGATTAGCAAACACTAGTAAAAATACCCACATTCTAGACGGAATATCCTGGACGGAAATTTTTCCGTCTAGTTTGTATTAAACTAGACGAAAAATTTCCGTCTAGGATATTCCGTCTAGAAAAAAACTATTCTAGACGGAAATTTCCGTCTAGAATAGCAAAGTAGACGGTTTTAATATTTTTTTATTTTTTTTAATTAGAGTGAGCATCCTAGACGGAAATTTCCGTCTAGGAAACATCCTAGACGGAAAATTTCCGTCTAGGATGGTGGGTTCCCTTCCCCCCCAAAATTTCACCCCCAAGTTCATTTCCCCGCCTAAATTCTCAAACTCTGAAATAAAATCCCTAATGCCGCCTAAATTTCATTCCCTAATTTCTCCCCCTCCCTCTTCATCCACTCCGAGTTCCCCTTTCCCTCTGCAGCCTCCTCTCCTCTCCGACCCACCCAGGCCCAACCCCTCGACCGCATCCCTCGTCACTGGGCCCACTCCCCCGCGACCTCCTCTCCCTCCTCAGCTGCGCCGAGTCCTCCTACCTCCTCGCTCCGCCAAGCTCGTCGCCGTCGACTCGATCGCCGCGCTGTTCTGGTCGGAGCTCGGCCGCAGTGCGGGGGGACCTGAAGGCGGAGGTCGGCACGCTCTCCTCCAGCGATCGTGGCGAGGCTGAAAGAGGTGGCGAGGGACTTCGAGCTGGCGGAGGTCGGAGCTCTTCTTCAGCATTGCTGGTAATTGGAAAATTTTTAATCTTTTCTGATTTTCTTTGGGAGAATTTATTTAGCGATTTAACATCCCCATCTTAGTTAAGGACTTTATTCAAGAACCCAACCTTTTGTTTCCATGATACTTAGAAAAACTTTTTTTACCATTAAAATATGTGTACGCTGATTCCTGATTTAGCGAAGTTTGGTGGGTTATAACTAGAGATTAATTATGGAAGTTATTCATAATTTTTTTTTACACGGAAATAAACTTAAGATGTGAAAATGGAAACAGAAGTAATACACTGTGTTAAACAGAGTGAAATAATAGAGAATCCATCCAATTAATTTTTATGCACAATTCTAACTAACTATTTGTTGCGGACAGACCTCCTGATTGATTTTTTTCACTCTTAAATCCTTAAAAAGGTTTGAGGAGTGGACCGTGAACCGAAAGCTTCAACCATTAGGATTATCCAAGTAGGCCCTTGCTTATATTTGCTATTGCTAAAGTACAAGTATCAACTTGTTTAAATCAAAGAGTAATGTATGCAAATTATTTGAACATCAGAATGGCAATTGCACTAGCAGTTATTGCAGGCGTGGGAAGTATTGAATTTTTTTGTCCTATGATATATTGTTTGGGCATCTCTACGTCCGACGAGTATGGAGCCTTATCGGGTAAGGCTTCGACAAGCTTTCGGGTTTCTGCTTTCATGAAGGCAACACCTACCTTGTCTATGAGTTTCTAGGCAGTAAAGCGATTATATTGTAGATTGAAACAAAGCTCAGCAGGTTTCAGTGAGTAAGTAGGAGAATTTTTCCTATTCGGCATGAATGTTATTTGTGAATTGAGTTGATATTGTGTTCTTATAGTTGGTTTGGTTGTTGTATATGTGCTCTTAGGCATTCTCTGCAAGATAGGTTGAGCAAGGGGAGCAGGGGTCAAGGAGATGAGATATATTTAAAACTCCGCACCAGTACAGGTTTGTTTGCCCATTATCTCTCCCATGCAGGATTATTCTTTACACAATAATTACATAACGAGGTAGATACATGACAAATTTTGATTTTTATAGGGTCCATAAGTTCTATTGTAGTTGAAAATTAACTGGTTGTTGCATAAGTGGTTCTTTATTTGGTGTTTGGATTTATTGTGTTGGCCATCTTGATTTTACAAGAACCAAGACTCTATTTATCCCCCTAACTGATATGTGGCTTCATGGGAATATTTGTTTGATTTTCTGTCCTCTGCACTATGTGTAAATGTCAATTTTTTGTAAGATAGGAAATCCACAATAGCTATGTATCCATGATTGACACCGACAAGCTGGAACGACATGCTTCTTACAAATCTGAGTTGAAACTCGTCATAGATGTTTGCATACTCTTGTTGACAAGGTTTTCTTTTGTTTCATGTTTTCATTGTTTGCAGCTCTCTGTTTGTGTGTTGTTCTAATCTTCTTCACAATACTAAAGCTTTGAGCCTTAATCTTGTGTTTAGTGTGCTAGTGTGCATGTTTTCAGATACGTTGAGAATTTACATTCTAGTTCTACCTAAGGGATGCAATTATATCATTTGTTTTTTTTGTCATAATATTGTCTTGTAACCACAATTTTCATGTACCCATCACTGTTAGCCGTTACAAAATGTTGTTTCCTAGTAGATATTGAAATGTCATTTTCATTTTTCTACAGATCAAAGGTACTTTGCTTAAAGCTTTGTGTCAGGCGGAGAGATCTAATGTTTTTTTTCGTTCCAAGAAGGTGAAAAGCGAAGATACATGTGATCATTCTGACAAAGGCGAGGAAGACGTTGAAGAGGAAGAGGCAAGAAAGATTAGACTTGGGCTTAATAAGAAGAGTGGTGATGATGATGAGTTGATTGCGAAGGGAAAATCCTATGTTAATTCGTGTACATAATTGATGTAAAAGTTTGTAAACAATTTTTTCTATTATTTTGATGAATGTATTATTTGAATATAATTTGATTTGATATTGGAATATAATTAGATTGTGCTCGATATGAATATAATTTTTTGTTGTTCAATATTGTGTACATGCATCCTACATAGATTCTGCAAAAAAAAAACTACTGTAGCATAGTATCCTAGACGGAAATTCCGTCTAGGATGCTCAAATTCCGTCTAGAATACCTTTTTAAAAATAAAAAAATAAAAAAATCAATTTCCGTCTAGAATGAGTATTCTAGACGGAAATTTCCGTTTAGAATACTCATTCTAGACGGAAATTTTTTCCGTCTAGAATGCATTATTCTAGACGGAAATTCCGTCTAGAATAATCCGTCTAGGATGTATTCTAGACGGTTTTGAATTCTATCTAGAATATTCCGTCTAGGATGTATTCTAGACGGAAATTCCGTCTAGAATACTACATCCTAGACGGAAATAAACTAGACGGGTATTCTAGACGGAATTCCGTCTAGGATACACATCCTAGACGGAATTCTGTGTATCCTAGACGGAATTTTCCGTCTAGGATGCCTAGTTTTTTAGCAGTGAAATAAACTTGGCAACTGAATCACTCGCTCACAAATCAATCTGAGTACAACACAAGCGCAATCAATATTAATATTAATAAAAACATGCACGCAATAGCGGTTCTAAAAATACTTAGGTGTAAGAAAACAAAACATTCGTCGGTCTGAACAGACTTGGTGTGAGGGTTCTCTGGAGGAGTGACAACAAACTGGATGACGATGTGTACGACGACGGCAAACTACGCTATCCAGTGGTGACGGATCGACGGATGAACTGGCGATGTCAATGACGTCGAACTGAACGATGACGACAACGAACTGAGGATGATGAGTGCAATGGCGTCGAGCTAGTCTAAGACGACGAGACTGCTCGAAGTGGAGGAGCGCAGGGGGAATCTGACGAGGCTGTTTGGAACAAGGCGTCGGTGGCAGTTGCTCATGGAGGGCACGAAGAGCGGGTGGTAGCCTTTGGCGGGGCTGCTCAAGGATGCAGGAGAGTAGGGGGAAGGGCGACAGCTCGCCGATGGGGTTGGGGGCTGATTTGAGATGAAGGGGATGGGCGGCGGTTGAAGGCATCACGCAGCTACAGGGGGTGGTGCTGGAGCGGGATTGTGGGGGTGGGGGAGGGGAGGTCGTTGGTGGTCATGGAGGGAAGAGCAAGGGAGGGAAGGAGCTGAGTCGGCGACTGTGGGATGAGAGGGAGGAGGTGGGTGGGGGGAGGGGAGGGGGTGGTGGCGTTGTTTTGGAGGAGGAGGTAGGCGGGAGGCTTGGGTTGGCTGCGGTGATAGAGAAAGAAGAGCTGGAGGTGGTGGGTTGAAAGAGATGAGCAGGTTGCAGTGTATTTTTGAACGGAGTATTCTTTTTTTTATTGCGGCTGGAGAAGAAACGAAAATATTGCTAGAGTTTCACACGTCAATTAAGCAAATAATTTTCATTTTTATTCTTCAATAATTCCTTTTGATTACAGCAATCCTTTTAAAGAAAAAAGATTACAAATTTGGAAATCTCACAGAATCCCTCAAATCTCTCACAGTTACTAAAACTGATTAACTACCAAATCAAAATTAAAATTCAAAAATTCAAAAATTCAAAATTCAAATTGATTATTTTAACTGAAATACTGCTAACTTAAATCAAAACCATAATGCTGAAACACGGCGTCTCCTGTGTTGATACACTCGGTGAAAATCTAGTGTACGTGTGTGGATGTCCTCATCAGGTAACCTATAACAGTATGAACGAGATGAATCATCACTGTATCATGCAGTTCAAGCTGTCATTTCATATGGTCTAGGTGCTTCAAGCTTGATAATGGTAGAATTAAGTGAGATACCTTCGATCATTCCATAAAATCCTTTATTGATTAGAGTTAGTGTGGTATCTAGCGAGCAAGTGAACCAGTGTATGTGAAGAGAGGTCTAAACACCATTTTTGTCCAACACGTGAGTTGATCTCAAAGCGTCAGTGTAGCATGTATCTTCTCATCATGTCAATTTTCCTGCTTACCGTCGAGCCTCTTATCTTGGCAGAATCTCTCCCAGAATCTATTATATCTCTGCCATTTATTAAGGCGTGCTGGGCTTAATAATTTGTTGATTTAATCCAAACGTGCGTAGATGGATAATGTTGAATTTGTTGGTATAATTTTGTCACTTTTTGTGCGAACGACAATGTGTACGTGTTCCTGGTTGAATGCAAATTCTGTGATAATTTAGCATGTCGTATTGAAACATGTCATAATCTTCATGGTCATTCTTGTTAAACGAAAACTTCATTTTCCATATGTGCTACGACATGCTTTTGCTTATTCTATAAATTGACATGTCTGACACCCAGCAAGAGCATGCATCGGCTGTTGAGCGCCTAGCTCCAAGATTGGCAGCACACAGGACTGAGCTTTGCCCAAGTCTTACGGCTCGAAAGTCGTTTTTGGAAGATATAAGTTTCTGCTTCTACATTCTGGACTCGACCATTTATTGATCCAGGTTGAAAATGGCACGTCAATTTGATATAAACCAATTAATATACTCGAAACTCCAAGCAGATTGTGCAAGCTGGTCAAGCTTATTACAAGATTTGCAAACCCATAAAAGCCAAACTCCAAGGAATTCGCCAGTGCTGCATCGTTCATTCCAAAAGAGGTGGATGCATCGGTTCCACCTGAACAGAACATTGTAAAGCCAACCCAAATATCTGCAGAAACATCATCAAGCAAGACTCTTCAAATAGACAAGCCCTCTACTTTACCAATGTTGAGACTGAAAAGCACACTATTGAGACTAGCAAGGTGAAATATTGACAAGTCTGTCATTGAAGAAGACCGACCTGTCCAAGCTCAATCCAAGGATCCAAACATTGATATCTCTAGTACTATATCCATACAGAAGAACGAAGAGAGGACGGTGAGCATGGTTTGAAGATGAAGAGCCTGAGCAAGCTGGTTGTTCTAGAGAAACAAATGTACCATTCGGAAACAATGAAGACGTGTCTTTCAGTGATCTAGGAGGAGGAGGAGGATGATGTTGATTGAGGGTTTTCAGAGAACTTCAAAATAGTAAATAAAGGCGGAGATGCTCAATCAAAAGATTCGAGGAAGGTTTGATTCAGATGAAGAACTAAGAGCGTGCAACCAATGGTGGCAACTCCACAAGCCCAGAATCCAATTAATGATTAGGTAAATAACAATGATATAGATGATATAGTGATGTAAGACGCTTAACAGACAATTTCATGGAGGAGTGAGACAATCACGAGCAAAATACAGACTCATACGTATTATTGACTTCCGCAAAGAAAATAATCATATCTTCAAAGCCGGAAGGTGGATTCTGACATGTTATATATGTAAACCGTCTATCTTGACGAGACGTAGCCAACTAGAATGTTAGATTTTAAAAATCTCATCAGTAATACTCAGTTTGGCTAAAATCCAAAAAAAAAAAAAACCAGTTTTTAGTTTATTTTTAGTAATAAAGTTGGAGTACATTTAGATTAGAAAATAAATTCAATATTAGAGTCAAATTAGATTAGAAAATAAATTCAATTTTGATTCATGATATGTTTTCTCTGTTATAGGGAGTATTTTTAGGTAGAATTTGATACTTTCTATTTTTTATAATTCTAGTCTTAGTAGGAGTCTTATTTGTTTTTCTATTTAAGAAGAAGAATTGTAAATCTCATGAATAAGATCATTTTTATCAATAAATTTTTCTTATTATATTTTCTTTGTAGATTCAAAAATCGTTCTTTGTGGATTTAAAGAGCACCCCTTGGTGGATTCCAAGATTTAATACTTTCGTGTTGCGTTAGTTAGTATTAGAGCCATGTTTCTTCGATCCGATGGCAGGCGACGAAGACCTTATTACCCTGACTCAGATTAAGACTTGCGTAGATCGACTTGCGTTGGTAGTGGAGTATGTGAACCAGGGACAAGTTCAAGATCGCGTTGATGGTCGCCAAAGACATGATTGGACTTCACATGAAGAATTCAACATCAACATCGATGAGTATGAAGCCTAGCACAGAAATTATGATTGTAGAGACTACTGAAGATGGGATCCATATGATATTAAAAACATGAGGATTGATTTACTATCTTTCAGTGAGAAACTAGATATAAAAAGATTTTCTTGATTGGATTGATGAAGTGGAGAAATTTATTGGGCATTTGAGAATCGCAGAAGATCAAAAGGTTACGCGAGTAGCCTATTGATTGAAGGGTAACGTAGTCTTTTGGTGGAAATCATTATGTGAGGACCGAGTCCGTCAGTAGAAGCAAAAAATCTGATCATGGGCGAAGATGAAGGAATTGTTAAAAGGTCATTTTCTTCCTACATATAATTATGTGTTCAATCAATATTTAAGTTCACACTCTAATTATGATCATAGAGGGATTAAGCAACCTCAACCTACCTCTAAGCAAGACTCTGGAATTATGAAGAGCACTAAAGAAGCTACAAATAAAGAAGAACCACCTCATAAGCAATATGTCTTTCACACGAGATGCACCATGATTCAGAAGATATGTATCTTATTATTCATAGTGATAGTAGAAAGAATCTTATCTCTCAGTGTATGGTGGAGAAGTTAGGCTTGAAGACAGAGAAATGCCATACCTTGTGTTCAATCGATTGGATTCATAAGGGCAATGATGTGCAGAATGATGAGATATGTTGGTTACTTTTCTATAGGTCGCTATGTTGATGAGATATTATGTGATGTGGTTAAAGTGGAGATATGCTCTTAGGTAGACTATGGTAGTTCGATGTTGGTGCTACCCATAGAAGCAGATGCAACATTTATGTCTTCAAGAAGGATGGGCGTCGAATTATACTCATGCCTCTTACATAAAAGGAGCTATCTAAGATAGAGACTACTACAAAGAAGAGATTCTTGGTGACAAATATCAAGGCTTTAGCAGAAAACTTGAAGCAATCTGAAGAGATCTATGACTTGGTTATGATTTAAAAAGAAGAACCTGCCCCTACCGAAATTCC